GACACCACTTTCTTGTTGTGTGTGTGTGTGTGTGTGTGTGTGTGTGTGTGTGTGTGTGTGTGTGTGTGTGTAGATATATATATATAAAAAATATATATGTGTGTGTGAAAATACAGTAGGAAGATTTTTTTATATAAAAATCTTCCTACTGTATTTTCCACTGCATGCATCTGATGAAGTGGGTTTTGGCCCACGAAAGCTTATGCCCAAATAAATTTTAGTCTTGAAGGTGCCACAAGGACTCCTCGTTCTTTTGGCTGATACAGACTAACACGGCTACCACTCTGAAACCTGTTACATAATTGAGTTACCTTGGGTCTAATCCGAGTTGATTTCATTAATCTCCCTTAAGTGCTCTATTGTTACATAACCCTGAGTAATGACTGGTGTCCACTTGCAATGTCCAGAGAGAACTGGCTGTATTTAACATAAAACTAACACTGAGACTGTCTTCACTGACAAGACCGAGGAGTTCGGTGGCACCTTAAAGACTAACAGATTTATTTGGGCATAAGCTTTATTTTTACAGTGGGATAACTAATGGAGTTCAGCTAGCTATCCTGTTATAAAAACATAGTGGAAATAAGGCAGTTCAGTTTTACTGCCAGGTAAACCAAACGAGGTCAGTCACAGGTGTGGTGGGGGTGGGATAGTAGTGTATAGTGCTGATCTTGCCTAGCTATCTCATGGTGAACACTATAGCTGCCTTGTTTTCACATAGGATTCTACAGCAAGATAAATATTGTGTTTTGTTATAAATCCTTTTACAGTGAAGAAAAAGCCTAAATGTCATTTAGAAATGTACAACTGTTTTGGAAAGGCAATCAAACAATCAGCTGTTACTTTCTGACCTAAAGTTACCTGGTGTTCTCCTTTCATTCCTTTCTTCTCTTTCCAGTTGTCTTTTTTTTAAGCTCCTCCCCCAGTAGACTGGAGCAGTTATGAATTTAGTGGTTGGAGGGTTGTTGTAGCTGCTAGTATGCTTTCTCATTAATTAGACTTTGGCCTACATTTATTTGTGGATTCATAACCTGGAGTGTGGTAGCTCTTGGTATTTGGAGAGAAATAGTGACATTCCAGGTGTGACTTCAAGAATATATGTCCTAGTAACCATGTGTTTGACCATGCTCCTGTGCAGAACTCCAGGTAACTTTATGCCATGCAGAATTAACCACTTCACAACTGTTTGATGTGCAAACAATCGGAGGGGGAATTAAATCTTCAGCAGTCAGTTGCAGTGAGATGACATTGAAATCCTTGTTGTTAAGCACCAAGTACTGAGGAGAGATTGCATGTCTTCTCTGTTATATCTTCTGCTTTTATCGGTTGGTCTTGGTTTTTTTCTACAGGGCAGCAAATTAGCTACATACTGGGTATCTCAATGCTAGCTTTTTCCTTTTAATTTCCCACTTTTGCTACCACTAGTGAAATTATGCCTGTTAGCAACTGGAAACGTGTAGGGAAAAAAATCTAGTGTGGATGGGGCCAGTATGGTCATCAAATAGACTCACTTTCTTTAAATAACATAAAAAGCTCTTTTGGGAAATAAACTGAAAGTGATTCCCCTTGGGTGCTGAAACTTTAGAGGTTTATCAGCAAAACACACTATTTAAATAAGCTCTTGACAGACCCAAAAAATGCAAATTCTTAATTTGCACTGATCAAAATCAAAGCATTCCTGAAGACTCCATCACCTTAATCTAGCTGCTGCAGCTGGGGGGACAGCAGATCAGAGGCTTCAGGGTAATTGATCTTGAAAGTAGCTCCACCTTCACACAGGTTTAAAGGCAACTATATATTCAAAATAGGAGGCAGAGAGGACATCTTCTCTGGATTTGTCAAGGACAGCAATATAATGGAAGCTGTGACCATTTGCTGTCCATTGTCTCAATTTATGTAGTCTTGGAGCAGTTTTTCCCTTCTCCTGCCAAAGCTTCCTCCATGAGGAGCATAAGCACAATCTGGAAACCTCACGCGCTCTTTCCACAGAGTGACATCCATTGCAGATCGGCTGAATGTGGACTTTGCCCTCATTCACAAGGAGCGAAAGAAGGCTAATGAGGTGGATCGCATGGTGCTGGTGGGTGATGTGAAGGACAGAGTGGCCATTCTGGTAGATGACATGGCAGACACCTGTGGCACCATCTGCCATGCAGCGGACAAGTGAGTGAGGAGGTTAGGTGTAAACTGCACATGATATAAACTTGTTCTTGCCTATATCGCTACATTGCAAATAACTATTAACTTGTAATGGAGTTGTGCCTGATGATGATGGGTTTGGGGTCTTGGACTGTGAGTCAAATAAGTGTTAGTAAACAGTGAGTACAACTCTCTCCTCACTAGCCCAGTTTTCAGATTTGCACTGGTTTAAAAATGCACCTTTAATGGCACAAATTTGTGTAAAAAAGGCTTCTGTCTTCTGACTGTCATTTCATTAGTTCTGCAGTCACTCTAGACCCTGAATTTCTAATGTAAAAATCCTGGCAAAAATCTTAAAACCTTCCAAATCAATTGTATAGGTTGTAAAGAAGCAGATCTGTACAAGAGCCTCCTGTTCTGCACAGGTACCTTTTGTGTTTGCCATGCCACTGGCAGTCTAAATACTGCATGTAGAAGTACTCCTTACCAAGGCTGTAGATCTGGTCTTAAAGCCCAAGTCTGAAGACCAAGTTCTTCAAATACGCAGGTTGCTTACGTAAAAGCACCCTGGGATATACTTGTTTCGTAAAACTGCTTCAAACTATGTGGGTCACCTAATGCCCCGGCTTGGCATCTCCCTTGATCTGAGACTGCACCCTCCAACCAAATCATTAACTGTATGGGAAACATCTAGTAATAGCCCCTTCCCATATATTGTGGGGACCCAACCCCCATTCTTCTGCCACTGCCCACTTTACAAAACTTGCCTTTTGACCCTTTCATATTTGTTCCCTTCTAGGCTTGTATCAGCTGGAGCCACCAAAGTTTATGCCATCCTAACTCATGGGATTTTTTCTGGGCCAGCCATTTCCCGGATAAACAATGCCTGCTTCGAGGCAGTTGTAGTCACAAACACAATACCGCAGGAGGACAAGATGAAGCACTGCTCCAAAATCCAGGTGAGAAGCTACTTTGCTTTTGAGCTTGAGGGGGTTAGGGAGTAGATGGTAGCGTAGGTTGTCTGCTTGCTTTCCTGTTTGGGAAGAAGTATTTGGTGCAAATCGTCAGTCCTCTTAAAAGTGACCTGCAAAGCCAAAGGGCCAAATTCATTTTTCCCTTCTCTAGAACATAAAGAAGCCTGAAAGGTCATTTGAAAAGCTTTTCTGCTTTCTGTTTTAGAAACAGATCTTGCCTAACCTGTTTCTCCTGAAATCAGAGAAGTTACTAGGTTTGTGGCATGAGATACAAAGCAAGTGAAAACAGATTGAGGGGAATCTAATTTTTAGGTAGGCCATAAACCAGTTGGAAGAGAGAATCTTAAAGATTCTAACACCCTGCCTTGCCCCTTCCTTTAAGCACAGAATTCCTGATCCACTTGTGTGCATCCTGCAAAGGAGACACCCGGCAAAACAGGGATGATGGGACTTTCTATTCCTGGTACTTGAAAAGGAAAAGTCTTGAAAAGCCTTTCAGATGGAAAAGGGTGCACACCCATTTTTTTTCTCCTCTTGGGTCCCTTTTATCGTTTCTTAGCATTTACAGAATTTAATGATCAAAGCATTTACAAACATTAATTAAAACAGATGGAATAGAATGCTGGCAAATGTATTGTATTGTGTACCCTGCAGCATGTCTTACTGATACACAGTAGGAGTAGTCGGGGTGACCCACAACAGGCCCATGAAGCAAAGCCAAAGTGCTTTGAGGATTACACAGATAGTAAAAGGTTCTGGAGAATGCAGACACCAACCAATTAATCCAGTGCCCCTGTGTGGTGGGTATTAACTCCTTTTTATTGACGAGGAATTGAGGCATTGTTTTTGCCCCAAGCTTATATGATAAGTTTGTGGCAGAGGTCAGTACTTCTAACTCTTTGCCCTGCTGTGAACACTAGCAAACACCACTGCACTGCGATTATATTGACAAGCAAGCTTAAGGCATTTTCAAAAGCTCCTTAGAATTTTAAAAATCTATTTAGCTCCTGTCTCACTTTCAAATCACTGTCAGTGGGGCAGTCTGAATGTTCAGTTGCTTAATTTAACATTTTCTAGGTGGCCTGTGGTGGAACATTTACCAAAATAGCTATCCAGCATAGTTATGCCAGGATAGTTATTTCAGTATAAGCCCCCATGTAGACTTAATCTGGAATGAGAGCATCCAGACGTGGAGTTATTCTGGAGTAACTATTTTGGTAAATTTCCAAGTATAAACTAGCCCTAAACTGTGGAATTCATTGCCACATGAAGTTGAGGTCAAGAATGTCAAATTTGAGTATCTGGAGTTGTCATAATAAATGCTAACATATTTTAAGCCTCATTCTTCAGGGTTTAAGTCAATCTCTTAACTATTGGACAGCAGGATGAGATCTAGTGAGAGGGGAGATTACCGCACATCTTCCTATGGCAGGGTTCTTAGACCTTACTCTGAAGCATCTGGTACTGTCAGATAGGACACTAGTCTAAATGGACCTCAAGTCTGATTCCATCTGGCAATTCCTGTCCCACTCTTAGAAAAGGCAGAATGGAACAATTTGCAGCAGTACCTTCAGAGTGATATGAAATGTGGTATCCTGTCATGCCTGCTTGTTTAGAGATTTTGTTGTTTTCCCTGTATCTGACAGTCTGCTACAGATCTGCTTATGGTTATCTTTGTAATGGTGGGTCTTGTGCCTTGAAGATTCCTCATGGCTTCCCAGCCACGCTAAGGCCTTGCATAGTCTTCCACCAGGTAACTGATACTTTTTTCCCCCTACAGGTGATTGACATCTCAATGATCCTTGCAGAGGCCATCAGGAGGACTCATAATGGGGAATCTGTCTCCTACCTATTCAGCCATGTCCCCTTATAACGGATGCTGGCTGCTGCTTGTGTGGCTTTCTTTAAAACCAAAAGTTGTTCAGCTAATTATAAAGTTCATTAGAAGACTCTGCTTGTTCCAGTGCAGCTCTCCACAGCTCCTCCTCTGCACACATCAGGCTCAGTTCTGGGAGGGGGTGGGGTGGAGAGCACACATCTGTAATGCTCAGGCTCCTGCCAGTAGCATCCCACTGTGATCTCCTCAATAGTTTAAGCTTCCAGTAGTATTGAGTCAGCACTGCAGATCCCTGGAGAGCAGAATTGACATGGCCAATTGCCACAACCTTTTTTTGGAGGGGAAGTTTTGTCTATGGGGAGGTTAGACTACTTTGCATGCACGCCTGGATTTTTTTGTATGGGAAGTAGAACTCCTAAGGACATGCTGGCCTGAAACTACAGCAAGAGTCCAAGGGATTGCTGACCCACATCACTTATTCTGTACCTGACAGAAGCCCTTAACAAGGTGGTATAAGGAAGTCTTGTATGTTGACCAAGTTTCTGACAAGAAGTGAGGCGCTACAGGGTGGGACAGCAGTTTCCTCTTCCGGAAGGAGATCAAGGATCTGCCACCTGCCGCCTGGAGTGTACTGTGTTAAACCCCTGAATTCAGATTGTTCTACTGAAGAAACTTGTTGCCCTCTAGTTTTCCCCTCCTTTGCCAGTCCATTAGTGAGTCTAGCCTCCCTGACCTGTATGTTCCTTGGACATGTATCTGCGTAGTAGATCAAATGGGCTGATATGTTACTTCCTATTAGAAGTTTTATTTCCGTGCATTTTAGCCCCTTCTCTCATGAAGTTTCTGATGTATTTTGTTCTGGTTGCAGTATTTGCACCCCACCTTTACTCTTTGCCATGGCAATACCAGAATCGGCCATCTCTACAAAATCCTCTTCCCCCCTCAAGGAATCTTGGGAATGTTAATGGAGGAAGAGGTAGGCTGCAGGACTTTGGAGGCCTTAGGAAGTGCTAAGGATGGCTGAGTCAGCCAGCTGTTCTTCATGTAAGGTGCTCAGTGATAGTAGGTCAGGCGAGACTTGTTCCCTCTGCAGCTTTTATTGACGTTTTCTCAATGTCACACTTAACTCCAGGCAGTAACTTTCCTAAAGTAGGAAGAGAAGAAACAATCAAGCCTAGAGCTGTCTCCAGTGCTCCTGCCTGTAGAATAGGCATCATCCAAAACTTGAATGCATGGTAGTTGCACCATCCCACAATAAGCGGTTAAACCAGTCTTTCCTGGACTCTTACGAGGTAGCAAACCAAGCTGGTTCTTGTATGCATTTTGCTTTTATAAACAGTCTTGTCTAACTTTGGAGATAGGGAAGGGAGTTATTTGGAATCACTTGTATCTACAGCCAGTATCAGGTGGGGGATAAGTGTAGCTGGAAAAAGCTGGCTGTCTAGATTTGGAGTGGTTCTTTTAGTTGTTAGGTATTGTGCCTTTTTTTAAGTAAGATTTCCCCCTCTCCCTCCCTAGAATTTTTGTCTTGCAGTAACTTAAAACCCTACACTGTAAGGGAGGGGAGGGGGGTTGTATGAGAAGTTGGTGTTTGTCTGGAAAGTGTGTATGTTTGCTTCTTTGCTTTGCATCCTGCATTGAGCTCAACTGAGGGGTCCATCCAGGACTTCTGCCTCCTACTTCAAAGCTCCTGCTGGTTCACTGCCAATACATTGTGATCAAAAGCCAAGAGCAAGGACATCAAAGCAGTGTGAGGATTTTCAGCAGCATTTGTGTTTAAACTAAAACCTCAATGAAGGAATTAAACTTTTGTTTAAAAAAAAATTACATACTTTTTTTTGTAATTTGTAAATGCTTTTAAAACACGTATGGCGCTATTGAGCCTCTGTATGTTCTGTTATTGAGAGCTTGAGCATCCATAGGTTGGTGAAGGACAGAAGAACTTTCAGTTCCTTTGTAGTAGCAATATACCACTTGTGTGGAAGAAATATTAGAGCCCAGGTACCTTTGCTAGAGGATGCATTAGTTTCATATCAGATACATCTGATCTTAGCCAATTCAGTAAACATGGTAGCTCAGCTAGTTAAGTTCTGGGTGCTAAATGCAGTTTCTGTTCTACTTATACAGTTCCCATCATCGTATCTTGAGCACCTGTTCTGTCTTAAATATCACTCAGATATGTAATGACATTAATGGGATTAAAATAACCGTGAATTTGAAATTGTTCACTAGCCCCTTTTAAGATTTTGTTTCACAGGTTTCTTTGGAAAGAGATGAGGGTACAGGTAAGTTGCATGACTGTCAAGTAGTGACATTAAGAACCTTTCTTTAGTGCACAAGGCACTGATTCACATGAAAAATATTATGGGGGGAGTTGGGAGAATCCAAAAGCTACTTGAAATGTACTGCCTGCCCCTCCATTGCTAGCAGGCACACCAATTCTGCTTTGGACAAGTCTCATTGTGCATAGGTAGAACTTAGTGATTTAGCAGCACTGTAAAGCACCACTTGAAAGAGAGGTATTGGTTAAAAATAGGGCTGTCAAGCGATTACAAATACAGTAACTCCTCACTTAAAGTTGTCCCGGTTAACGTTTCGTTGTTACGTTGCTGATCAATTGGGGAACATGCTCATTTAAAGTTGCGCAATGCTCCCTTCTAATGTCGTTTGGCAGCCACCTGCTTTGTCCACTGCTTGCAGGAAGAGCAGCCCGTTGCAGCTAGCTGGTGGGGGGCTTGGAACCAGGGTGGACCGGCAGCCCCCCTATCAGCTCCCTGCTACTCTAAGTTCCCTGTACAGCAGCTGCCCAGCAGGCTATCAATTGCTGGCAGTTCAGCTGTCTCTCCCTCCACTGCCATGTGTTGCTCCTGCCCTCTGCCTTGGAGCTGCTCCCTGAGACTCCTGCTTGCTGTACGGGGGGAGGGGAGGAAAGGAAGAGGGGGCCTGTTAGGGTGTCCCCCTGCTCCTGCACCCCGCTTACCCCATCTTCCATAGAGCATGGGGGACACACAACAGTGCTCAGGATGGAGGGAGCTTGCTGGCAGCAGCTGCGGTCTCAGCAAGCTGATCTAATTAACAAGGCAGTATACTTAAGAGTGGGGTCAGCGTACTTAAAGGGGAAATGCGCATCTCTCTCTCTTACATTTGGTGTGTGTCTCTGTCTACGATGCTCTCTCCCCTCCCTCCATTCCTGTTGCCTTGTAGAGTGTGAGAGTTAACCCTTGAGGGCTCGGCCAATTGCTAGTTCATCATTTAGCAGTAAGGCATTCCCTGGGAAATATCCCACCTTCTGACTCCACCACCTCAACCAATCTTCACAATCGTCATCACTGTGTACCAGTATTAAATTGTTTGTTTAAAACTTTGTGTGTGTGTGTGTGTGGATTCGCTTAACATCGTTTTGCTTAGTTGCATTTTTCAGGAACATAACTACAACGTTAAGTGAGGAGTTACTGTATTGCAATTAATCAGTTTGAAACTGTTTCACTGTTAATAATAGAATACCATTTTAAATATTTCTGGATGTTTTCTATATTTTCAAATATAGGCTGGAGGTTCTGGGCTTCAGCCCCCCTCTGGACACGGGGCTTCTGCCTCCCTCCCTGCCCAGAGGTATGCTACGTTAAAATATTGATTTTGTTTTCAGTTAATCGCAGGTGTTAACTGATTAATTGACAGCCCTAGTTAAAACTACAGTGCGTGATATTGCTTGGATGGGTGTGGGCCTCCACTGGATAAAAGAGTACCATACATCAGAGGCCTATAGCGAGAGCAACTAGATGTGATTGGTAAGATTCCCAATTGCTTCGTGGGGTTTCCCTGTTCAAAAGCAAAAGATAATAGATACCAATTCTATAAGGACATTCTTGTTGCCATACCTTTAAGGGAAACAGCTGCTTCTGGGTGACTAGACTCAGATGATGCAATCTTAAAATGAATTTAAGAGGTGCAGATGTCTTGATATAGATTTGCATGTCTATGATTCTTATAGTAAAATTAAATTCCTCTTCTCTCAATCCCCCTTACATTAGTTTGAGTGCAGTAGCGCTGCTCAATGCACATTGTGCTCTGAGCCTAAACTAAATCCCTTTTTCCTGCACTTCGTTCCTAATTGGCCCTGTAGTGGTCTGAGCCCCTAAAGGAATGTGAAAGGTGCATATTTCAAATTTAGCAGACAGTTCTCTAAGAGAACTACATGCCACGTGCATACATGCTGTCGTTTACTGAACATCATCAGCCTTCCGTGTCTTTACCATACAGTTCCTGGGAACATCTTGTGGCAGAATGATGCCTTTTGGAAGGTGATATTATACAGAAAGGGAGCCTATAGTATAAGCATGCAATGCCAGAAACTTGTAATTCTTCACTTCTTCTTACTTCCTGTACCCAGGAGTAATGGCGCACTCGGCTGCAGTTAAGAGATTTTTATAATTAGGCAGTGCTAAAGATGAACTGCACAACGAGTGAAAGGCACAGTCAACACAAAACATCTCTGAAAACATACCTATTCTCGCAACCCTGTCTTCACCAGAATGTGACCTCACTAATGGCAGAACTCTTTGTATCCCTGCTATTTGATTTTTGCAGAATGAGGCAAACCTGAAGTTGTCTACACAAGAGCAATGTAATTTGCTACTTGATTTCTTCCTTTTTGGTAGGAGAGCAGATCTGTTTGAACACTAGCTGATTTTTCTGGACTTCAGTGTGATTTATTGAAATTCAACAGGATGACTTCAGCCTACAGCAAAGGAAAAATGTTGAGCAGGATCAATGAAAGCCTAACAGTTTTCACCTAGAACATGGAGCAAGTCAAACAAAGTAAATGAGACATGAGCTCATGCCAAGTTGTAATACATGTGAAAGTTTGGCCTGCTGTAAAAGCTGCCTCTCAGAGGCGATCAGGCCTTACTGATGGAAGATTTTCCCTCCTTACTTTTGCACTCTACTCTTACATCAAGTTGCAGGTTTGTCATAAGTTCTCCAGTGCCCAGCATGTGGAGAAGGAGAAATATTTGAAGTGGTTGGTTTGTGCTCCACCCTTTCTCACTGGCCCAGTATACCCCATAGTAAATCCCTCCTTTCATTTAAAAAAGTTTGCTGGTCTATGTGCAGAGGGCTGGAGAAAGCACAATCCCATGTCTGATCACATGCAGAGAAATCCTGTTAACTGGATGTCTGAGCCCTGACAAACTCGGAGACTTCAATCTAATTTATTAACATGATTCACAGTCGTTCTTTGCTCTCATTTGAGATCCAGGTTGCTTCCATTTTTTCTTGTCTGTCAGTATCTTGCTTCAATTGCTATAAATTAACATCAGAAATGAACCATGAAGCTGGTTCCTGCTAAAGAAATCAGAAATGCTGTCATTTAAAGCAAAATTATCCTGCATCTGTGCAGACACAAAAATAGTGACTTGTGAGAGTGATAAACCCCCATACCCAGAAAAAGCTTGGCCAGTAAAATAATTTCAAGGGCTAGTTTTAAAGCTTTTTGTATTAGTGGCTGATTTTTGGATGGTCAGATCTCAACAGTTAACGCTCCACAGAATTGACGAGTTGCAACCACTCTTTCCAGACAGTCTTCCCTTTGTCGAGTATGTGCTTTGTTGGAAAGGGGGGGGGGGCTCACAAACTCTAACACAGCCTACAGTTGACACAAGAAGAGTGTAGTGCTGAATTCCTGCAACCCTGAGAGTGCATTACAATCAAGGTAATATAATGGTTTCCATGCTGCTCCCCGACCCCACCCCTGAGCAGCCATTGGCCATCTGTGCTCCAGTATGCTTACTTCACTGAGATCATGCGGCTATTCTTGCTGATGCCTCAGTCCCTAAAGCACCCCAGTTGATGAGCTGTAATATGCCTGTCCCTGGCTAATGCTGATGATATGTTCCTGAGTAGCAGTGAGGGCAACCAATGAGATTATGGCAGGGCGGTGTCTCTGTGTGGAAAAAGGATGCGGTAACCTAGCCCTCTATTTCTCAGGGGCTGCAAATGACATAAGGTAAAATAAAGCTCATTCACCATCTGCAAAGGAGAATGAATTGAGAGCAAGCCAGGAGGGAGAGGGAGTGTGTGTGTGTGTGGAAAGCAGGAACAGCTGGAGGATAAACACAAGGTAAAATATTGGTACAGTATTTCTAAAAGGGGGTTTCTGCCTTATCTCTTTGGCTTAGTGATGTACTCCCCCCCCCCCCCGCGCTTTTAATTGCTTAAAGAACTGAAGTCCCCTCTGATCCTTTTAAACAAACTTCCTAGGGATGATCCTAAGTGAACCTCATTAGTCCTTGATTTTTGATTGGCGCATTCTTCTCTGAGCAATTTAGTGCATAAAATTATAAGGGTGTTTTTATGCTTTCCTGCCCCCAAATCAAGCCTTTTGCAGAGCAGTCTGACTAGAATACTGTCAAGGCTGTTTCCCCACTCTGAACTTTAGGGTATAAATGTAGGGGCCTGCATGAAAACTTCCAAGCTTAACTACCAGCTTAGATCTGGTCCACTACCACCACTCCCAATATGCTAATTTCCTTCCTTGGGTAGCCTTGAGAGACTCTTCACCAATTCCCTGGTCTATCAAGATCCAACCCCCTTGGATCTAAAAACAAGGAAAATTAATCAAGTTCTTCAAAAGAAGGCTTTTAATTAAAGAAAAAGGTAAAAATCATCTCTGTAAAATCAGCATGGAAAATAACTTTACAGGATAATCAAACTTAAAGAGCCCAGAGGACCTCCCCTCTAGCCTTAGGTTCAAAGTTACAGCAAACAGAGGTAAACACCCTAGTAAAAGGTACATTTACAAGTTGAGAAAACAAAGATAAAACTAACATGCCTTGCCTGGCTGTTTACTTACAAATTTGAAATATGAGAGACTTGTTCAGAAAGATTGGGAGAGCGTGGATTGATGTCTGGTCCCTCTCAGTCCCAAGAGCGAACAACCACCAAAACAAAGAGCACAAACAAAAGCCTTCCTGCCCCCCCTCCCCAAGATTTGAAAGTATCTTGTCCCCTTATTGGTCCTTTGGGTCAGGTGTCAGCCAGGTTACCTGAGCTTCTTAACTCTTTACAGGTAAAAGGATTTTGGAGTCTCTGGCCAGGAGGGATTTTATAGTATTGTACACAGGAGGGCTGTTACCCTTCCCTTTATAGTTATGACAAATACCCAATCTGAAATTCCTGGAGAAAAGGAATGCAGAGCCCCTCCCGCACCTTTGATGACATTTGCTTCATGTGAATATATATATATTGCCAATGTAGATTAACTTTCTTATCCAGGCACTTCAAAAAGTGGCATCAGATTGTAAGGGATCACCAAAATTGCTGGATCTGACTTCCCTTTCTCTTCCCCCAACTTCTCCCCACACTGGTTCTGTGATTAGGGTGACCAGATGTCCCAATTTTATAGGGACAGGCCCAATTTTGGGGGCTTTTTCTTATATAGGTACCTATTACCCCCGATCCTCCTCCAGATTTTTTACACTTGCTATCTGGTCACCCTATTCTATGACCCTCTGAAAAGGCTGAGGTTAGGATGGCATTGTGTGGGGTCCATATTCATTGAGTCTGGATCAAATTTATAAATGAAGTTTGGTTCTCTCTCCCCCTCCCCCTGCCCCCCCCATCTGGCAGTCCAACCAACTCAGTCTGGGATCTGAGTCAACTTACTACCCCAGTCACAAAATCTACTTGCTCTTTGCATCATCACAGGTGATAAGACTGCAGCCTCAGCTGATATTATTTGGGGCAGTGTCAACACACATTTTTATTCACTATTTGTTTATGATACAGCCTGCAATGTGCTAGTATTTTCTAGACCCCGAAGAAGGGACTATCCCTGGCCTAAGGAACTCATGGTCTAAAAACAGAGACCAACTGAGGATGGAGAACAAAAAGAGGGACTTCATATACAGGTTACCAAGATTCCCCCTATGCTGCATGGCAGAAGTGGGATTTTGAAGAGGGACTTTGATGTGGACAGGGTATGGGCCTTATGGACAGGAAGTTTGGTTGCCCCATGCCTAGGTACCCTTGAGGGAGAAGGCCCAGACTCTCAAAGGGATGTGGGAGCCTAAAGAAGCAGAAAAGCTAGAATACCCACTAAAATTCCTAGAGGAAAGAAAGTAAGAGCCGCTCCCCAGCCTACGACGACATTGGCTTCATGTGCAAGAAGCTGACAAACAGGTGAGCAAGGCGCGGGGGCAACATGAAGCCTGACATGGTCATATAAGTAGGGGGGAGCAGACTTGTACAAGCTGGAGGAGCTGACAAGAAGTTTAACTTTGATGCAGTAGCAGATTGGGGAGAAGGGAGGGGTGTCCAGTGAAGGGATTTTTGTTTTGTTTTGTTTTTTGAGAGAGAGGAGTTCAGCTGCATTTTGTATGAACTGAAGGGGAGGCGCATGTCTGTGTGTAAAAGTAATATGGTAGGTGAGACAGATGCTGAGGAGGAGAAAGCATCAGGATTTGGATCTGACCAAGATGTGTAGGGAAATGGAGGAGGATCCAGGCCCAGGGAGGATGGTGGCAGTGATATCAGTAACCGAGAGAGGCAGTGGAGATGGATTGAGAGGGAAGATCAGGAGTTTGGCTTTGGTTGTACTATGTTTCCATCCAGGAGATGGCTGAGATGCGGGCTGAGAAGTGAGAGCGGATGGGAAGAGAAACAGTCCATGCCTTGAATGTACAATTGGAAGCGCACTCTCTGTGACAGCTGTGTGCTGCCATTGTCACCCCAGGATTCTTCCAAGTGCTCCCATCCTGCAAAGACTTCAACTGACTTTAGTGAGCCTGTTCGCATGTGTGTGAAGTTGTGCAGCTGTTTTTGCAGGAGCAGGGCCTAGGTGTGTCACTGTGGCATCTGAGTACCACCCGGGTCATGGCACAATTGGGTTCCCTAAGCAGGATGGGTGAATAATCCTGGGGAGGAGTGAAATGCATCTCCCCCTCCCCTTGCTGGAGAGCTTGCACTCAGCCCACTTCCTCCCTGGGATGACCTCCATTGGCTGTAGCAGAGCTGCAGCAGCGAGGAGTTTGACCCATGGTGTTGAACTCGTATCTACATGTCATCTTAGATCTGAAATCTGTTGTGGCAGCTGCTGCATGATGTGATTTTTTTTTTAAATGACTTTAAATAAGATCCCACTTTTTTCATATAATTATTTGTATCGCAGTAGCGCCTGGGACCTAGGGGCCTGACCCAGGACCCCATTGTGCTAGGTGCTGGACAAACAGACCAGTCCCTGTCCCAAAGAGCTTCCAATCCAAGTATAAGATGAGACATTGGGTGGAGACAGACAGGTGGGGAATACAAGGAAACAACAGGACAGCAGTGGGCAGTGTGGGGTAAAACCCCACTCCACTTTCCATGCGAGAGGCAGCAATGCAGCATTGCCCCATGCTGAAGAGATGGGCTGGTGTTTGTCCTGCCCATGCCTGTGCCCTGCCGCTGGACTGCTCAGGAGGAGGTCGCCAAGTGCTGCTGTGAAAGAAGCCCTCATACCCAGTGCCTGTTTCCCCCACCCTGCACCATGGAACTGCAGTGATTCTCCACAGCCACTCTGCCGGCTTTGACCATATGTTCCCCACAAACTAATGCACACTATCCTAAAGGCTGGGAATTATAGGCCTGATCCAAATCCTATTGAAGTCCAAGGAACAGTTCCCCCAGGCTTCAGTGGGCTTTGGATGAGGCCCTAGATGCCTGGGTTAGCTCCAGTGGGAAGGAATGTTTAGCTTCCATGGCACAGGGATTGTGCCCTGGGATGTGACTGTACAGTACCCAGCTCCATGGCCTCTCGTTTCCTACACTGGCACAGACTTCAGCCAGACCCAGTGCTCTGTCAGGATAAACTGCCAGGCTCAGTCTCTCTGTTTTGATGGATGTGATTCTAGGCAGCCACACGTAGTTGGTACAGGAGCAGTGGTAATCTGGGGTATAGACACTGCAAAAATCTTATCAAGCTACATAAGATACCAGATCTCCACAGAAAGGACCATTGGATTGATGTCTCTCTCTTGGGGATGATTGGCTCCAGCTGCTTATAGGGTAGATGCTGATAACAAAGACACAAGGGAGAGCAACAAAAGGTACACGCTGGGACTTCAGGCTGCTGCCATGAGGCAGCTCTGCTGGAAAAACACACACAAAAGTTTTGTCCCCAACATGGGGAAACAAGTATATAAGGAAACGTTAGGGCTCATCCCATAGGAGAGGAGGGATAAAATGTGTCTCTCATGTTAGCAGAGAACTGGGGTAAGACAGGGTGGGTGGTGGAGGAAAGACAGAAAATCAATCCTCCCACTGACCAAGGGACAGGGCAGTCAGAGTGTTCCAACGTGGCCTGGGGTCAGTGTTTGAAGAGGGATAATTTCTTTTGAGTTAGTTCCAGGTAGGAGCAAACTAGTCAGCCAGACGGTAATACACCTTTCCAGCTGGTGAATGACTCAGACTCACTTGCCCCATAACCTTCTTACAAACTCTTATGGGTTTTTTTTCTACCCGATCCTAGTGACTAAAGGAGAAGGTCTCAGAATGGGGGACAAGGCCAGGATGCAGCACGGAGACCCTGAGGGGAGGGAGGAGGAAGAGAGAAGGTGGAGCTCCAGGAGTTACAATGTAGGGGCCGTCTCCAGCTTCCTCTCTACCCTTGTGACCTTCCCCATCTACAAGACCATCTTCCGCCAGCAGATCCATGCCTTTTCCATACAGGAGGCCATACAGCAACTGCGCCAGGAGGGCATGCGCCGCTTCTACCGGGGCCTCTTCCCACCACTCTTGTCCAAGACGCTCCAGGGAACCCTGTTGTTTGGCACCCATGACAGCTTGCTCCTTCTCCTCACCAGCAACCCTTCTGAGCCTTGCACGCTGGGGGAGCGGTGGACAGCAGGATTCCTGTCTGGCTTAGTGGAGGCTTTAGTCCTGAACCCCTTTGAGCGGGTCCAGAATGTCCTGCAAGATGGACGGAAAGATGCCAGGTTCCCAAACACCCGCAGCATCCTGCGGGAATTCAACTCATATGGTCTGAAGGAAAGGCTGGTTGTAGGCTACTATCGTGGCCTCAGCCCCGTCCTGCTGCGGAACAGCCTGGGCAGTGCACTGTACTTCTCTTTTAAGGATCCCCTCCGTGATGGCCTGGCCATGAGGGGCTTGCCTAGCTGGCTCCCTGCCCTGGTGTCTGGCAGTGTTAATGGGACGGTGACTTGCCTGGCATTGTACCCTCTGAGTGTCCTTATTGCCAACATGCAGTCACAGGTTGTGGGGAGGGATCTCCTCAGCCTCTGGCAGTCTGTGTGGTCTGTCTGGGAGTCGCACGGGAGGAAGCTGACTCTTCTCTATCGGGGCGGCTCCCTCCTTGTCCTCAGGTCCTGCCTGACATGGGGTCTCACCACTGCCATCCATGACTTCCTGAAAGAGAACACAGGGCAGAAGTCCCTGGTGGAATAAGGGGAGAGGCCAGAGAACCATTGGCCCTGACATTTCTAGTGTCATGTCTCAGAGCCCTGAGGACTTCGAATGGGATTTCGCTTGTTTACAAAGAGGCCCTGAAGCTCATAGTCAATAAAACTTTAACACACAAGCTAAACCTCCAACCTACAGGTCAAAGGTCATTCTCTGAGGCCATACTTTCAAGATCAAGGAGCAACTTTGGGGAGGTGGGAAGGGAACTTACCAATCAGAAAGTTGCTTGGTTGGTTTTTTTTTAAACAGCCTTTTAATAAGCTGGAGTTTCGTGTTCTGTGGCAACCTGGAGTGAGCCAAACCCTGCCTGCAAAAGGCTGATCTGATCCTATGTTTGTGGTGGTGCCTGTGCTTTCCTAGTCTAAGCACAGGATGGAGAATCAGGTGAGCAGGGTTCTGTTCCGAGCTGTGTCACTGTAACCTCGTAAAAACATCTAATATCTTGTGCCTCATCTTTAAAAATGGGGATCATAGTATTTTCCTGTTTAAAGTGCTTTGAGAGCATGGGTCGAAAGTGCTACAGAATTGCAGTGTGTTCACATATTATTGCAAACCATAGATGAAACATGCACTGTCCCTCCTATAAGAGAATTTCCCTCTATTACTGCACGTTCATGATTCCTTAAGCACCGAACTGAGCTAAACCCTAGAGCCAAATTCTGTTCTTGCATTTGCACTTCTGCCACTGGTTAGTTCAACGCTGAGGATATGGAGAACAGGGGAAAGTGGGCTGAGGTGGTGAAACTAGGCCATGCAGTTTAGGTTTGGCTATTCATAAAAGGAAGAAGCTGGTGGAGCTGCTAGAAGGCAGGCTCCTTCAACTGGATTGACCTGAAGCATAAAGCAGAAAATCGGGACTCTCCGGCTAATCTCTCTGGAAGTGGCAATTTATAGACTCCTGCGTGAATTCCTGGCTCCATTGTAGTCAATGAGATTATGAGAATTTGGGGGGCAGGATTTCAGGCCATGTGTGTTTTAATTCTCAGTTCATGTAATTACAGAGAAGGTTGGGGTGAAGGTTATGGTCACAGCAGGGTTCTGCAAGCTTTCATGATCCTCCAAACATCCTTCCAGAGTTCAAAGCTGGGCTTGGCACAGAACCGTTCCTGTTGTATGTGGAGGGTGATCTGCCTCTGCTAACTGCCAATGCATGCCCATGGTGATGTTAGATCTGTCACAGCCTTTGCTAGTACTGCTCAGACAACATTGATGACTCTCTTGCTGAGTGGGTGGGGTGGGCCTGTAGCAGTTCCACTCCTTCCTCTCTGAGAGATTCCAGGTGGGTGTCACTGAGTCATTTCTCTGCCTCTCTGAGACTTCTTACATGCCAGCATCTATCCTGTTCAACTGGTGGGCATGTTGGCTGAGAGACGGCATGAGGCTGTGCCCTGATGCAGCACTGGAATGTGGAGATGACCCTGCAGGAGGGCAGAGCGTGCACTGAAGATGTGATAAATGATGCATGAGAACTTGTTCTGCTCAGAGATGAAATTCAATGTCAAATAAATTAATTTTTTTTTGTTAGCCTGATTAAATCCAAGACCCTTTAGACCAGATTCAGCTCAGATGTAAGCAGCTACAACTCCAATGAGTTGTCATTGGCAAATTTATCTAATTGGCCTATCATCATGATTTTTGTTCTTCTGCAGAAAGCAGTGTGGCCCAGATCCTCAAAGGTGTTTAAGCACCTAATTCCCAGTGAGATGTAGGCACCTACCTACATCTGCACCAGAGTCTCAGGTATTGGTGAGATACTTTTACTTAGCAATTACATCAACAATCTGATGATGAGACATGATTTAGTATCTGACTCAGGCTGTAACCTCTGTCCATCTCTCTCTCTCTCTATCCAATTTCCTGTTAGATTTCTGCGTAGTCCACAAAATGACACTGTGCCCCAGTCCTTATGCTTCATGGGGTTAGTGGATGTTTCACTCTTCACCTGAAATGACATAACACTGCTTCTGTATTATTGCACTTGGTTCTTCTAAACAAGACTTCTAACAAAATTCCTGCTGCCCTCCTTTCTGGAGCATTCTGGGTTATTGCAGGAGGAGCCCTCACAAGTGACTCAACAAACTGACTTTGGCAGAGGGACACCAAACAAAGAGCAGTGTTGTGACTCTTGTCTCCGGACAAGTGCTAGTACCCCACAGCGGACTACTGATTTATAGCTATGGTTGCCTATTGTTTGGGACTGGAGGGTTTATAATCTAATGAACTAGTGAGTTTAGGCCTGCAGCCAACACTTTGTGGCTGGATCTGATCCCTGTGCTATATTTATGTGGCCTGCTTGGCATACTCAGGTTGTGGAGATTCTAAGGGTTCATTGCAAAACTAAAGTAAGTAAAGTAGCTGCCTGAGTCTGAAGACAGCCTAAAACAATGCCACAGAGGGATGCACCTCTCTGCCCCCTCTCCTCATTGAGGCATCAGCTCTCTAACCTGATGTCACCACTTCAGCATCAACCATAACTTTCCATTGCTGGTTGTTTTAGGGGATGGCATTGGAAGAAGGGGTGAGAGTGGCAACTTCTGCAAAGAATGGAACGCAGAGGGATGAACAGACAGGAGAGGGAAAGGGGAAGAGAAACAAAGGGCAGAAGTAATGGTGGCTTACCAGCGCACAGAATCTCTCACTAAGTAATACTGAATGTAGCAAGGAACTGGATAAACAATATTGAACAGATTAATGACTACGTACAGGCCAGACCCTCCTCTTGATCTCTTTGCAAATCTCCTTGTGACATCAGGGGACAAGCCCCTGTAGATTGAGGGCAATATGATGTCCTGAATTTATACCTTGGCCCCATTCAAATGTGGAATCCAGAGTTCACTTCCATATGAATTTGACAAGCTGCCTTGCATGCTTTCCCCTAATGGTCCTTCTTATATGGCCCATGTGCTCAGAACAATATGTGGTAGCTCTCTTTTCACAGAGTTTTGTTATACTGTCTAACTGAAAATCTTGCACTCTTCTGTCTCTTCAGCTTAAGCCAGAGAGTTGCAATCAGCCCTCTTTATTTACCTGCTCTTTCAGAGGGAGTTTTTCTTTTTAGGACCAAATCGATCCCAGAAAAGCAGTGGCAGTAACACTCCTGTAAAATCAAATCTATCCACAGCCAGGCAGGAGGATGAAGCATCTGTCACAACACCCGATACACTCCCACTGATGCACAAATCTGGTACTAGTTTTGCACATAGCTCTTTTTTCCCAAACAGCCTCCTTTTAAATTGGTAACGTGCCAGGAAAGAAACCTAGGTAACAGCAGAGTCTCCGAGAAGCAACAGGTGCTGGTGTCACTCACTGCCCAGCTTCTCTCCTCTGCCATTTCTTTGTAATAGCATAATAAAATGCTGGGAGGGATTTCTTTTTGGTGTCAGTTGGGGAAGTGGCTTTTTGATGCTTCCAGATCAAGATTTAATGGGTTGCAGAATAAAGAGACGAGCTATTCTATTAGAAGAATACTGACATTTTTAAAGGGCCTTCCCTCCCTAAGGATCCCAATGTGGTTTACAAACTGCATGCAGCACTACTTAAATGCAGCCCCTTCTGGGGTGGAGCATGCCAGCCAGCATACCACATACGATACAGCAGCTGGGAGGAGGGAAATTTTGGTCCAGGGCCCCTGCTCTTTAGTGCCAATCCACAGCAGACTCTCTCTGTTCTTAAAATCTCATCCTGAAGATCCCCATCAGGTAAAGAGCATGGAATTTAATTTACCTTGGAAGAATGAAGGGCTGAGTTAAGCACACAAGAACTTCAGTGGTCTGATTTGTTGGAGATGTTACGCAACCACAGCGCCTGGTGATTTCAGTGAGTTCTGAGTGTTCACAATTGAAAATCAGACCATAGATGCTTAAAAACTGATGCTTAGACTACTGAGATATCCCCAAGACCTATTCACCAATGAACACCAGTGTTGGAAGCGGAAGATGGCGATTTACCCTGAACATCCCAGTGGCAAGATGCGGGGCAATTGTCTGCCATTGTTAGACACACTATTTAAAGCAGGGGTGGGCAAACTTTTTGGCCCGAGGGCCACACTGGGGAATAGAAATTGTATGGTGGGCCCTGAATGCTCACAAAATTGGGGTTGGTGTGTGGGAGGGGGTGAGGGCTCTGGTGGGGGGGTGGGCTCTGGGGTGGGGCTGTGGATGAGAGGTTTGGGGCATAGGAGGGTGCTCTGGGCTGGGATTGAGAGGTTTGGAGAGTGGGAGGGGGATCAGGGCTGGGGCAGGGGTTGGGGCTTGGGGGGGGCTCAGGGGTGCAGGCTCCAAGCAGCGCTTACCTCAAGCGGCTCCCGGAAACAGTGGCATGTACCTTCTCTGGCTCTTACGTGGAGGCGTGGCCAGGCGGCTCTGCACGCTGCCCCATCCGCAGGCACCCCCCTGCAGCTCCTATTGGAGCGCCGGAGGGGGCCATTGGAGCATGTAAGAGTCAGAGTGGGGCCATGGAGCGGCTCCCAACCCTGCTCCCCGGCCGGAGCGCCAGAGCAGGGCTGAGCCGCACGGATCTGGCCTGCGGACCATAGTTTGCCCACCCCTGATTTAAAAGGTCTTTAGGTCAGTGTATGAAAATTATAGTTGTATGTCTAAGAAGCTTTGAAGCTTCCATGCAAAATGGTTTCTTGATTATTCAGATCTCGTCCCAGAATTCAGAAGAGTGTACGTAAGGGACTTGGTTGACTCCCCAGGCCACATCTCCAGCCCAAAAGGCTAACCTTCCAACTGATGCTGCTAAGCAGCATCTCAGAAGAGACAATGCAATGTTCAAGCTGCCCATGGTGGACAGCGTTAGGGAGGTAGTGGTCCCATCCTCAATTGCCTGTGAATTTATAGCATGCAAGTGTAGACCCCACAGTTTACACAGTACATATCAAAATATAAAAGGAAGGACAATAATTACAGTACACGTATTGAAGGCTGAGAGAAGAGGAACATTTATAGAGTCTAGAAAAGGCAATTCTCAGGAGAGCTATGAGCAGAGTCTATAAATATCTTCTCTGTAACTATACACAATAGGAGTGGATCATTCACGTTCTCAGAAGACAGTTGGATGAGGAATAAGAGCCTGAAGCTAAGGAAGGAAATGGCTCGTTCTGGCTATAGGAATAAGAAGGCAGTGGGACAGACACCCACAAAGGAAGTGATTCATATCCACTCAGGGAGTTATATTATAGGCACCTCAGAACTATAGGGTGGTGAAAAAGCAGCGGGATCTACTTCTAGATCAGACACAGCCTCTGAAATATATCAGCCATCCTCTTTTACACCAAAAACAAATGACAGAGATGAAATCAGGCTTAGACAGACATTCTGTGCAAACAGCCTTCAGGGATAATAGTTTTTGATAGTCCCTTAAAAAACATCTTTTCATATGCTGTTATATACTGCTTACTGTATTTTTCACTCCATGCATCTGATGAAGTGGGTTTTAGCCCACGAAAGCTTATGCCCAAATAAATGTCTTAGTCTCTAAGGTGCCACAAGGACTCCTCCTTGTTTTTAAAAAACAGAGCTGTCTTTTCCAAGCATGGACCAAATTCCTCCCTGGTGCAATTCAACTGATTTCATTTGGGTTACCCTAGGGATGAATTTAGCCCCATTTCTTTGTGTCATTTCACTTGAGCTTCAGTCACTAGATGGTGCTGTTGGGAAGTGAATAAGAACAGTCTTTGTCATCTTGCTGCGAGGCACGCCCCTTTCTTGGCCCTCCTCAGAGGGGTTCTTGCTCCCATGCTCAAAACTGCCTCTGTCTGGTAAAAACCCACTTGTTACCCCACACTCCAGCATAATGAATGACTAGTCGAATCCTAATGATAACACAGAGCTCTTTTCCTCTCAAATTGGGCACGTTTCACCAGAGAAGCCCAGCTCTCCTGCCTGCTTATCTAACACCCTTGCTGCAGGGCCGAGCTTCCAAGGTTTACTGGTGGGGAGATGGAGATGGTGTAATTTAGCTCTGATTAGAGGGCCTCATTCATGGCATTGCAAAAGGCCATGAGCTCATCCTACACTTACCTGTGGCCTAGCGTCCTCAGATCCGAGGGCTTCAAATCCAGGCCACAAACAGGCTGGTGCAGAGTCTAAAGTGGACCACGTCTGAGCTAAGATAGGTATATTTGTTCTGCTGGAGATGGCAGCGCTGCAGGGTTCCTACAGCCAATTCCATTCAAGAGCCCTAGCCTCAGTCTCTTCCATGCATTATCTTTAGTGCTAGATTTTCTCATGCTTTGTCTCCGGAGTCCGGCTGAGAAAGGACTTGCTTTTCGGAGGGTTGGGGAAGAGGCCCTATATAAGGAAGTGCTGCTTTGTGTGTGTCTGTGTAAGTACATAGGACCATCTGTCTGTCCATGTGCCTTGTCTGTGCTTGCCTGTCTGCATGCCTTTGAGCATCTGGGTGCCTGTCTGCATGGAGATATGGCCCCACCAGCATATTTTCGCTACTGTTTCTCCCTATTTCAGCTCTGCCGATGGGAGCAAAAATATCCTAGGGAGCTGCAGTCTATTTGCCTGGGTCTGTCTCTCTGGGGGAATATGTATCTGCGTGCTTCCGTATCTGTCTCTCTGCCTGTCTGCGTGTATATCCATCTGTCTCTATTGGTGTGCCCGCCTGTCTGCGATTCTCTCTCTGCAGGGAGAGTAGACATCCCTATGCAGCTGCTTTTCGGGGGTCCCCCGTGGCCCTCTCACACGTGGGGAGAGCCAGCCATTGTGTAGCCGATGGAGGGAGACACCCTCAGATGCATGCTGCAGGGCCAGCCCAAGGACCCACCCCCTCTTCGCAGCGCCCGCCACCCCCCGTCTTCAGCTAGAGTGGGGGAAGGGACACTTTACCCCCGCTCCGGTGCACCCTGCGAGGTGTAGTTCTCTGGCGCGGCGCGGCCAATGGAGGGCCTCGAGACCCAACTACGCTTCCCAGCATGCCGAGCGGCGGGCAGGGCGGACAGCCAATGGGAGGTAGGGGCGGGCAGTAGCCGGAGTATATAAGGAGCCGCCCCACGCGGGAGAGCAGCAGACACTTGAGCGATTGCAGTAGCTTTCAGGGGAGCGCTACAACCAGCACAGCAGGTACGGGGCGTGCCAGCCCCCATTGTATGCACCTGGGGTGCTGCTGGAGGTGCACCATTGCACGTACTGGGGGCCGGAAGCGGGGCGTTGGCGGCAGCTGCTGTTTCTGCCTGTTGCGTGCACGGGGGACCCTAGCGGAGATGCCCCACTGCCGGGGCTGCTCCCGTTGCATGAACGGGGGGTTCTGGTGGAGCCTCCTTTTTGTTGGGAGGTGGGGGCGGCTGCGCTGCTGGGTGTAGCCGGCTCTTGGGGTGGGGAAGCTGTTCTCCCTCTTCCCCTTCTCCCCCCCCCCCACCCTCCGCGGAGCTATCTCCATGTGGCAGGGCTGGGCGGGATACAGCCCAACCCTGCTGTGGGCAAAGCGCCCGGGGCAGGGATGGGCCGGAAACCGCCGCCTAGAGGCGCGGGCTGCGGGAGCGTCCCTCTCCTGTGAACTGGGGGCGGGGAGCCGCCGACCCGGGGGTGCTGCGTGGAGAGCCCCGGGACGGGGTGAGGTTCTAGCCTCTGTCCTGGGCGGGTCTCGGCTCCTCCCCGCGCGCTGCCCATTGTCCTCCGGCCCCGCAGTCTGGGGTGGGGCTCTACCGCCCGCCCTGCGCCGGGGATCGCGGGTGTGTCTGGCTGCAGTAGGGGGGGCTTAAGCCCCTCTCCCCACAGCACTGCTCCCTGCGCTGGGGGGGGCGGCGAGCTCCGCCCCACTGCCCCTGTGGAGCACCGCGGAGTCTTTGGGGTCCCTGTCTGGGCGGCTGCAGCCGCGGCTAATGGGAGGGAATCTGGGCAGTGGGTTTTTATGCATTGATGGAGACACTAATCCTTACAACGGGTGTAAATGTTGGCTCGGCAGAGAGACGCAAGCTGGGTTGGGGGAGCTAGGTGGCATTGCTCAGGCACTCCTGTCCTGTAGGAGCACTTGGCTGTAATCCAGGCTGTGAGGCTGAATGGAGCGCAGAGGACACTTGGCTGGGTCTCTAGATGTGTAGACTGGCAGGAGTAGTGGGTGATGGAAGGTTCTGCTTCTCTACCACGTAGGTTGGGGAAGAGGCAGGTATTTGATAAAGGGGAGGATAATGCTGGTCTGGCTCTGCTCCTGTCTCAGAACAATGTAATTCTTCACTATTAGGAGCCTAATACAAAGAGATCTAGTCCTATCACTTCAATCCTAGGAGACAGGGCTCTGGTGCCCAACCCAAATCAGTTGGGGTGTGTCTCTTGTCCTAATCAGCTTCTTTTAAAACAAAACTCCCTTATGGGCTTTCACTCCATCCCTGTTCTGACACGTGGCCTTGCTAGCTGGGCTGTCTCAAAGGCCCGTCCCTTATCACTGCTCGAAGTCTGAGTTGAATTCGGAGTGCTTTGCTAATATACAAGAAATCATCAGCCAGGCAGTTCATACTGACATCTGGTCACTCTCCCCAAAGGGTTCTGGCTGTGTAACTTGGCACATGCTGCCTGGGATTTCCCTTGCAGGGATGGGTTGTAACTTGCTTATCTTACTCATTTAGCTAAAATGTGTGACAAACCAGACCTCTCTGAAGTTGAGAAATTTGACAAGAAGAAGCTGAAAAAGACCAACACGGAGGAGAAGAACACACTCCCTTCGAAGGAGAGTAAGTATCCAGTTCCCTCTTTTTGGGGGGGCGGGGGGAGGTTGAGCAGTTAAGTGGTTCCTAAATCTTTGTATGCATGGACAACTTAATGGATGACCACCTCCTTACAGCAACATGTTATTAATTCCAGGTTCTCTGCTGATGACTTTAAATCTTAGGTGTAAGTTGGGTCTAGTGCTTCACACAGTTCTTATACTTGCCAGGCCATACTTCTCACTTGCAGAAGAAGCTGAATTGAAGTTTTTAGTTAATCTTGTGATGTGAGCCTCTGTCCAAATGGTCTGGTGTCCAGATAGAAGGGAAGAGGAAATCGTTCTAAAGCAAGGGAACGGGGCTGCCCAAAGCCTGGTACTCCAAAACATGGGTCTCCTATTAGCATTTTGTTGTGACACAGACTTCCAATTCTGGCTGTGTAGGAGTGTCAAGTGGGAGCGGATGTGCTTGTGCTGATCTCATCACTGAGGAATCTGGCAGGCTGAGGCATTTTTGGTCTGGGTTTTGTTCCAATCAAAAAAAATTATTTGTTTTTTCCCCCTAAACTGCAGATAGGATCTGAGCCTCAGCAAGAGCTAGAATGACACAAACACCTCTGGCTGGGGGAAGTTGTCGGTATCTTAAAACACATTTTTAATAGAGGGTTTCTAGCTCTTATTGCACTTTGCTGTTTTAAGCCTACCTGTTCAGGTCTTTCAGGCATGTTTGCTGAGGTAACTGTACTGTGCTATGGTGGGGTCTTTTGAAATAACAAACTCAGTAGTGAGTACTGTAGGCAGCTGCCTAACTACATGCAAAGAACTGGTGCTTTAAGTTTGAGGCTGAATGGTCTAGACAAGTCACTTCACCTATCTGCAGAATGGGATGGTACTTGTCCATCTCACTAGGTGTTGAGAATTCACTGCTGCTTCAGTGAATTCTCAGGACTGACTCCTTTCCAATTTCCTGGGCAGCAGCAATGTTCCTCTGTCATGGACACCCATGAAAACTGGGTCTTAAAGCTTTCCATAGGAATAGTCCCCTTCATGTCCTCTTGTAAACATGTTCTGTTGTAGCATTGACTTGATGGGGGATAGGTGTAGGGGGGAGGACAACTCAAATCTCTAAAACTATGCCCCACACACACACCCTACCTCAAAGCTTGCCCAGGATTTGGATGCTCCTCAGCCTGACCTGTAAGGTGCTAGTGTATTGACTCACTGTCAAGGCTTTGCAGCTCTAGAGATGATAGCCATATATGGGGCTGTCTCTGCAGGTAGAGCAGCTATGCTGTGTTGTCCCAACCCTTGAGGAAGGGGTTAGCATTAAGGCAGAGAGGCTAATAGAACTCTCTTCTCTTTCAGCCATCGAGCAGGAGAAGGAATGCGTGAAGTCTTCATAGAGGGAGATGGCATGGCAGGAAGAGCCACCACTTAATTTTTTTGCTTTGAATTAAATCATCTGTTTTTTTTAATTACATCTACCTGTATAGAAAAATGCTGCAACTTCTAACCTTGTTGTCCCACTGTGCCAGCTGCTTTGGCAGGTGGAGGAATGAAGTATGGTCCTTTCAGAATCCATCAGTAGCCTGACCCAACCCCACCTTTTCTGCTTGGCCACCTCCTGTTTACAGCACTGATCTTGCTCTAATGCAATGAGGGAGGAGAAGAGGGAAGCAGAGTGCATGGGAGCTCCTGGGTACAGAGACCCCTTCTGCTATGTGGTGTGGGGGAGAGGGGGGTGAAATTCTTCTGATTTGGCCTTTGGCCTACTGACCTGGGTCTGTCTGGCATATTTGCTCACAATGGGTGTTTCTGCAGCCTCACTCACAATTTTTTGTCTTCCTTGAAATAAAGTGAAAAGTTTATTATAAAAATAAAAAAAATATAATGATATACTTAAGGACTCCAGGCTTCTTTCCTGGCTCTTCAGCTTGTTTTGCTGTTGATCTGTCAGGAGGCATTGGTGCTGCAACTGAGCTTGGGCAGGAGATATGGTAGAGAAGTCTGATTTCTGTTGCTTCCATGCTGGTGCTTCCCAACCCGGCCCTTGATGTTTTTGACTTGTAAAGCTAGCCCACAACCATATTGAGGTTCCTTATGGTGCTTAAAGACAACTCAGTCAGTGTTAGTCACCCTCTGGGTAGGGCTGAGCTCCTGTTTCATGGGCTGAGAGAAACTTAAGGCTACGTAATACTCCTGCTCATGGGGTATTCTGCTGATGTTACTGAGAAGCTTCCACAAGGCTCAAAGGGAGAATGTGACCTTATCTAGTAACTAGTCTTGTAGGCCAGGCTTTAAATGGTTTGTGGAATGACATAACTAACTTTGGTTAGGAGTCAGATTATTTTAACCAACAGTGTTAGTGGCACATTCTCCCTAGTGTGGATGCAGTTTCACTAGAATAAAAGTGCTAGCTAGGCTGCTGCTCTTGCATAGGAATGCAACACTAGAGTTGGTATAGCTACTCACCCCTCCACCTTGCTCCTCCCAGTGGGTGGATGTAGTTATACAAGGCCTTAATGTAAATGGATGCTCTTTACTGGTCACCGTACAAGCCAAATGATGCAGAGGTGGGAGGGGAATGGGACTAGGTCATTTCTCTTCTCCCCCCCCCCCCCCCCCCCAACTCTGCAGCAGCTCCCAGTTTCTTTATCCCTCTTCTAACCCCCATGAGCAGCAATGAAATACTGATGCTGCCATCTGCCTTCAGGGATAAACACCCCTGCCATCAAAAGGGGTGGGGGTCCTCTTGCTGTTAGTATTTCATCTTCATGCATTTTGGGGAAATGCTTGACACTAGAGGCATATTGAACATAAAGATGTTCGTAGCTTCCCTAAGAAACAGAATAAGCAGAAGTTGTGTCTACTTCCCACACAACTCTGTCAAAGACCTGCTCTTCCAGTGCTAGGCTTCTCTGCCAGTTTTGCTAACGGGTACCAACTATGTGATGACTTTGTGCATTAAGCCTCTGGATTTCCTCTTCCTAAAAGCAGCCTGCTCTGAATCATCTGTCCCCAGTAGCCATTACTACTACAAGTGTTTGTAAAGTTACCTGGGTGCTGCTAGAGCATTTGCCAACACAGAGCCAGGATACTGCTGAAACCACTGAACTTTCTGCTATTACTGAGGCTGGAATCAGGCACTTCTGGGTCCTGTTTGGGGTGGGCATCAGGGTTGGAAGCTCTTGTGCCAAAAGCACTGGTGTTTAACAAAGCTGGAGTAGGCCAGGCTGGTCTATGCTCTGTGGAGTGAGTTGGCTGGTGCTCACAGGCTGGGTATCTGACATCTGTGCTCTAAGGACTGCTAACAATTGGCTCTTAAGAGCTGCACCAGTGCAGTGGATACCATTTAAAATTGTTCCCTAGCATGTGACCTTACAGCTGTTCTCTTGTGTGAAACAGCTAACCAATAGGAAGATTTGGGCCCATCTCCAGTGGGCTGGACATGGTAGAACCAGTACTGCTGTGTAGTAGGCTCATAAGTCTGGGTGTCCTAGTGCAGATGGAGGGTTAAAACACTAGTAAAAAACTCATTCATGCTCACCCTATGGACTAGAATATGCAGTAGTTGCCTACAGGTCTGTGCTGTTGAACGTGTAGCAAATTACCCTTTTCCTGTGAGGTGGGAGAGGAGAAAGAGCAGAGAGCTCTTACCGCAAGAGTTCCTTACAGCCCTATCTCAATACCTATAAACTGATGGAATAAGGGGCTAAGGAGCAATGTATGCCTCCCTCAAAAGAAAACTCTTCCATCCAGCATAAATAAAAGACATAAGCACTGGACAGCTTCTGGCCTGCTCTCACTGTCTGATTCAGTAGTCCTAGAATATCTTCCCTAATGCTTCCCTGGGGAAAAGGGGTGCCACTTACTGAGACTTTCAGCAGCTGCTTTGTAGTCCTTATAAAACATTTGTGTTTTAAAAGTCCCCAGATGGTGGGGAAGCTCAAGCGCTAGCAGGGCTCTGGTATTGCCTGTCAGCGGGTGGTTTGACTCTTCCCAGACCATGTGTAGGACTGTCTAATTGCTGTTCCTCTACTGGCATTTACAAACCTCCCACTGTTGCAACTCAACCAGCGGCAGAAATTGCGGGGCTGTAACAGAGTGGAGGTTGGTGTTTTGCCACTGTTGCCTGGTGGAAAGTTCAGAGCAGGTCTATAAGTGTATGCTGGTGTTCCTATCCCTGTTACCAGTTGTGTAGCTGTGCCACTGGTTGCTACCAAGCGTGGGTGAACTTAAGGAGAAAAAGAAAAGCTAGTGCACACAAAGGGTGGGTGAGAAGAGGCACCTTTGCTCACCATGTAGGAATCATCTGAACAGAAGATTCTAGGATGCTCTTAATTACTCAGGTCACCTGCCAACCACAGATTATGGCTAAGGCTGTAAGAAAGCGTAGTCAGCTGTATGGGAAAGCGGTTACCATGCTGCCCTTGGACAATTTGTCTATCTAGTTCAGTAACTTGCTACCTACGCTGGCCTGTTGCTGGCTCCCACTCCAATGAAGCACATTTCTAAATAGGAAAGATGCTGCATAGCTGCTTCTAACCTTACCCTGTAGAACAGAGGTGGGCAAACTATAGCCCGCCAGCCACTCCTGGCCCGTCGGACCCTCCTGCCCAGCCCTTGAGCTCCCGGCCAGGGAGGCTAGCCCCTGGCCCTCTCCTGCTGTTCACGTCATCCGCCCCCCTCCTCCCCCCCCCCCCGCCGCAGCCTCAGATCGCTGTGCTGCCAGTCTTAGGGCGGGGGAGGGGGAGGCGGACTGTGAGCTTCTGCTGGGCAGCACAGCTGCAAGAGCTGCTGGCCTGCCCTGGCGCTCTAGACTGTGCGGCAGCGGGGCTGGCTTTGGCCAGGCAGTGCAGCTGTGAGTCCTGGTGCTCTGAGTGGCATGGTAAGGGAGCAGGAGGGTTGGAGGATGGGGACAGGAGGTCCTGGGGGGTGGACAGGGGGCAGTTGGATGGGGCAGAGGTTCTGGGGGTGGTGGTCAGGGGATGGGGACCTGTCGGGAGTGGGGGTGTGGATAGGGGTTGGGGCAGCTAGGGAGCAGGGGGGATTGGACAGGGGATGGGATCTGGGGGGGGACAGTTAGGGGTGGAGGGGTCGGTCAGGGAATAAGGAGCAGGGGGGGCTCTGAGGGGGGCAGGAAGTGGGAGGGGGCTAGGCTGTTTGGGGAGGCACAGCCTTCCCTACCTGGCCCTCCATACAGTTTTGGAAGCCCGGTGTGGTCCTCAGGCCAAAAAGTTTGCCCGTCGCTGCTGTAGAAGCAGTGTTGAAAGACCTGAAGGTGAGTGGGTGGAAGGGGTTCACAGAGATTTCTGAGTTGGCATGGTTCCTCTTCAAGCACCTTTCAGTGTATCATTTGCCTGATCTACCCCCAGTCAACATAACTCCCGCGGTCCATGATCCACTATGGCCTCAGAGGAAAATAACTTTCAAACTCAGGAAATGAGCCCTGGTTCTGAAACTGTTGGTGTTGCGAGCTTCTAAGCCAACAAAAGGGTGTTAATGCAGCAGGAAACTTAGTCTTGCCACTTACATCCATTTCACAGAAGTGCTTGTACCTCTTAGAGTGCAGGTGTATATCTCAGGCACAAAGAACAGACACTGGAGCTTCCACAGCAGAATGAGATCTTGGTGACCCTAGAGTCACCCCAACCAGAAATAACCACAAAAATCGAGTCCTGGAAGCACTGCCAAGATGAACAGGAGTACTTGTGGCACCAGCTAATGGCAATGCTCCAGTCAGGATGCACAAACCTCAAAACTCTTAGCCAGCATTTCAGGGGGATAGGGTTGAAAGAACAACTCTGAAAACACAGCAATGTAAACATAAATAGGTAAATATTCAACGGGGTTTCCCATCCCTTCCTTAGGTTGCTACAATGTAGCTGGCACTAGTTCCTTAGCAACTTTATTTAGGAGGGAGAGATCCTTATATACTCAAAAACTGCATGTTTGCGTCTGTTCTTGCTCCCCTGCTGGAATCCAGAGAATTAAAATAAGTGAGGGTTAAAGATTGCAATGTCAGGGATGCATTGAATGTGCATCTCCTGGGCCATTAGTCACAATTAGGGCTGAGATTCATAGCCATTGCAGCTTTGATTTGCTGTTGTATTGACAGGATGTGCTTAGTCGGGGGAGGTGTTGTCTATGTATCATCAAGGACAGTGTGTAGTCAGAGCAGGTGATATCAAGTAATGTGATTGGCTGCTTTTGAACACTGAGACACCAATCAGGCAGGGATTGGCTGGTCACGATTTTCATTTTGATATCACTTGGGATACCATGGGCAAAAAGAAGCCCAGTGCCAGCTGGGAGTTGTGAGTCTACTCCTGCACCGTTTGCAAAGCCGCGGACAGCACAGTGTGTAGCAACTCCACATTGCAGCTATGTAGAAATCAGATACATTGAGGCTCAGCTTTGCACAGTCCTGGCCATGGAGACTGCAGAGAGCCATGAGCTGCTGTTGATGCCACAGAGCTAACTCGCTTGTATTGATTCTGTGTGCATTCGGGGCGGGGTGCCCTAGGTTTCTGTCCCTATGTGGTCTAGCTGCTTAAAGCCAGTTGTCCCCTTTTGACACCAAAGTGCATGCCAATCACCATTCACTTTAACCTTCCCTTTCTAGGAAGGTGAGCAAGAAAGTGGTGGCTTTTCTGCTCCTCATTGATGTCCAGGTGCACCTGCAGTAGAGGACCACCAAAGAAAGGCCTGAACCTGGGCTCACCAACCAAGAAAGGCCTGAACCTGGGCTGGAATCTTCCTTTGTAGCTGTGACCATTCTGGTTGGGATCAGTTGGCATTAGTTTGGGTTCCTTTTGGTGATGCTGGATCTCTCTGCGACTTTGGTCGCTACTAACCAGGGGTGGTTGTCATATATCCGTTTTACCAGATCCTGTAG